GTGATGGGAGGGGAAGAGGAGTGGGGAAGTGGAATCTGTGCTAGGCGACAGCACAGCTTTGCACACAAACATTTATAGTGTGTAAATTTGAAACTGTACATAGGAAAATTGAATCCAGGTGCACTTATGTGTACATTTCTGGCAAACATACTTGGGTTTATTTAGCTATGTTGCCAGTGAACGTACTTGCAATTATTATTAACCGATGTGATTCTCGTGGGCCAATGTAAGTGAACAAAACAACCAGCCCTGCTGACTGATGAAGAAAATGTTATCATCACATAACATGATCAGGCAATTCCAGATTTCCAAGTACAGCCCAGCTGCTAAATATCTTACCCAGAATGGGCATTTATAAATAGAAGGTAAAAATGGTGTGTTCAGATTGCCCCTTAAAGCAGCTGTTTTGTACCTGTCCCTTGCTACTGCATCTAAGTGAATGGTTATATACGTTTTTAGCAAAGGCGCTACTACAATCATCACAGTTTTCTTTTAAAAAATATTTCTCTGCTCCTCCAAAACAAGCTCCTTTATCCTATCAGCTTTCAAGCTGCTTGACATACGGTAGCACTACAATTCATCCTTCCTTCTTCCCACTTGCTTTAGAAGATACTCTGAGACAGAATTTTTCTAACTAACAAATACGCCTGTACAGACCAGGAAAATCTGTGCTTTTTCAAAAGTAAAAATGACCTCTAAGGTATTTAAAGGATTATGTTAAAAAAAGACTTTGCTATTAAAATAGAATCTCATGTGTAGAGCGTCCTAGATAAATGTCTAGGATACTATTGAGCATTTCACAGTGTCCTCATTCAGCCGAACTTGTGACACTGCACAAAGAGTAAATTGTTGGCCACTGAATTGTAATGACTTTCACTCATCTGGTCTGCTTTGGGAATGTATTCTTGGTTACAAAATCTAGTTCAATGAGGCTTTGCACATCTGAGAATTGAAGAAGACAGGCACCAGAGCTGAGGGCCGTTTAGGATTATAAAGCATTTTTCCATCTTCGCTAGAGACCTGTACCGAGTGCCTTTTGATTCACATGACGTGCCTAACATCTGACACAGGCAATCTTTAAAAGACAAGGTTGATATTTTCAAACACTGCTAGAAGACGTCCCAATGACAATGTCTGGAACAGAGAGACTGAACGTTTGAATGTGCACAGAGCTTATCAGAAACCAAAGCTGAACTGCCAGTACTCTCAATTATGCTCAAAATAATGTCTATGCATTTGTATGCACACCACCTCCAATTATACAGAAAAATAGCGTTTACAGGTTAGTCCGTGGGTAACCACATATATCCAAACAGATACCTAACAACTGAAAATGCGGCTCCCGTAGCTTTCAGCTAAGCTAGAATAGGCCTGAGCATTTATTTACTCTGTGGTCTCCTCCCTCTTCGTCTCTCTCTCTGAGATCTACGAAGGGCTGGATCAGTTGACCTCCAGAAGCCCCTTCCCGTTGAAATTATTGTATGATTATACTGGGTCTCTTTAGGGCATGCTCACTCATAGACAATGTATAGACATATCATAATCTGAGATACACAAATGTTTCTGAACAGAATAACCTCTCCAGAAACAGAGCATGAAATTCTGGAAAAAACTGGAATATTTTCAGGAAAAGCTACTGACATAGAGTTGTAAGAGAAACTTCAGCATCACACTGGAAAACAACAGGCAATGATTGATGAAGATTTCATTTACTCCATAACAAAGTTGCAAATCAGCACACACATAACATGGTTTTTCTTTCACCTTTTGGTGTCTCTTTCTTTACCTCTGAACCGTAACCTGCTACACGCACAACATGCCGCCTTCAGTGAAACCACACACACAGTGCAACGCTTCTCGGCTACAGTGTACCCTTAGTCTCATTCTAGGCCAGATGTTTACAGGTGTTCAAGTAATCAACAAATAAAATTCCCAGGGACTTTCAGTATTTGTCTTCGTAAGCAAATTAGGTGCTTTTAAATACTACAACATAATTTGCAGAGACTCTGAAAACCTCCCTTACCTCTTTCTTTACCTCTTCTTCATCCTCCAGAGTCAGTGCGGCCAGTTGCTTAGCTCTCTGCTCCATCAAGTTTACATATCTGATTGGATTGGATAAGGCCTCAATCACATCTAGAAATAATGCAAATACTTCAGTTTCAAACCCTTTTTATGTTATGGTTCCAGTGCTCCTCAGGTTTTAAGAAAGAGACTGTATTTTTCATACAGATCTGCTGCTGATAGGTGCTCCTAGGTCCTAGGAACAACAGTGGAGGGGAGTACACCATCATGCACAAATACTCTAACACGAACCCTCTTTGAGTTTGTGCTTGTGTCTCGTGGATGTGCATTTTCTGCACAGTGTTTTATGATGGATCTTCAAAGCTTATAGCATCAGCCAACTAGGATCCTGCTTCACATGAGGCACAGAGGAGCATTAGTAAAAATACTGTTTTTTTAAAAAAAAAAAAAAATCAAAATGGCTATACAGAATACTTTCACTGAAGATGCACAGTATGGTCTTTAAACCTATCCTTGTTTGGAGCCGATTCCAAAATACAATGCTCTACATTAAGCATGGCACTTTGCTTAGGAAACAATTACATACTACTGTGTCGCGTAAGCGAAGTTTCATTTGTGTTTCAACGGCGAATGCCTGGGGTATTTCCTCCTGTAGAGTCTTACAAGGTCTGCTGAAAATAAAAGAGTTGGCCCTAATCCTAAAGCTCAGGCAGGCCGCTGTAAATCAGGCCATCTTGTATGAGTGATGAGACACAATGATCCATCAGATGCTGAGGTTTGTTCACAGGATTCAGTTATCCCAATACAGCAAGTCATCTACACCACACTGATATTGCATTTCAAATAACCTTTATACTTCCCAGTAGGAAAAGGTCACAGAATTACCTGCATAAGTATCAGGTACATAGTCTTTGACCTCTATGTACACAAAGAGAGCTGGCAGTGTCAAAGGTTGGTTCCTCTCATTCCTCAAACAGATGTAGTGATAGCCTGCAAAATAAGAAACAACCAGTTCAGAGTCAGAGGCATTTCCAATGTAATTGTGTTATCATCTCTTATTTATAGTGTGGCTCCAACTGAGCAAGCAACTCCAGGGTGGAAAGATTTACCTGAAGGGTTTCAGAGATAAGTATACAGACAAGGGACAGTTAAAAAGGCACATGACACTGCAGTTTAAAAGACTATTTCCCTTTATTTTTACTTCTGTGAATAATGCTAAAAATTGTCATTTATGTAACTTTTGATGCATTCTTGTTTTATTACCTTTGGCTGGATTTTTTTTTTTTTTTAGTTTCGGAGCTCTTATTTAATTATCAAAAGTGACCCTTGTAATACTCAGGAATCTGGACAGCCAAGTAAAACTGAGATGTCCATCCACAACCCAGTGTCTAATTTAAAAACCAGACAATGTGGCACTGTATCTACGAAATGTGTGTGTGCGTATGAATCCTATCATGTGACCAACTGTAGAAATATATCTGAAAAAAAGAGTATTTTCAGACTGTTTTGAAAGCTGGCTGTCTTGTAAGAGTAAGGACACGCATTACAGTGCAGCTTAGCCCAGTTAATGATGAGGCACCACAGATGGGGCAGCCCCAAACACTTTCTCCCAGCCACCTACCACCATCATCTCTCTTGTGCACTGACACTTTTCTGACTTTGTAGATAGGCAGCTCAGCAAGCTAAACTCTGGAAAAAGCAGCCTTCAGAAACTGCAAAGAGTCTTCCATCAATTTATCTCCCCGAAATGCCTCACCATAAGGTCAGAAGTATTAATGCCAGTTTAAAGACAGTGATGGAAGCGCACAGGTAAGGGTGGGAGAAAGGGACTTGCAGTCCCAGCAAACTCTTACAGCATCAGAGTGCTGCAAAGCTGCATCCTCTGCCTCACAAGTTGGTGCTTCCTGCATTGTGGCTGAAGCTGTTCTTCTAAGGCATGATTATGGAGCTGCACACATGGGTAGTTGTCAAGGTACAAGTCATGAGCAGGATGCACTTATCTGGGGGGATCCTCGCTCGGCTGATGTGAACAACTCCCTCCCCAAGTAATGGTTAAATCCTTGCTTTGGGAATAACGGTAATTCTGTGGATTTGTGTGACAGTATGATAAAGTTTTCAGTAATGTCCCAGAAAAAAAAAGATTACATATTACAAAGGTTTCCCAGTTCCCTCAAGCTCCTCCAGCAAATTTTCAGCACGTACATAAACTAATATCAACATGCTGTTCTCCATCACATGCTGTAAACAAACGGTTGCTGGAGTCAAAAGGGCAGAAGATAGGCCTGCGGGTAAAAGCTCTCACAAGTCCTTGTATAATTTAACACACTGGCCTTTGTTCTAAAAAGCACAAGCTTAAAAGCAGGTACATGATTCAGTTCTCTGCCGAATGGACTCTGTGCTGCGTGAAAGGTGAGTGCCCTGAAAGGGGATCAGCCGTGCTAAGAGTTCGCTTTCACCAGAAGAGGGAAATCCTTCACATCCCCCTTTCTCCTCTCCAATCACCTATCTCCCTCTGGAGCTTGGCAGATCCTCCATAGAATCATAGAATCGTTTAGGTTGGAAAAGACCTTTAAGATCATCCAGTCCAACCATTAACCTATACTACCAAGTCCACTCTAAACCAATCAAGGGTAGACTAGACTAAACCATGTCCCGAAGTGCCACATCTACCTGTTTTTTTGAACACTTCCAGGGATGGGGACTCTGGTCAGCCTGTTCCAATGCTTGACTACCCTTTCCATGAAGAAATTTTTCCTAATATCCAATCTAAACCTCCCCTGGTGCAGCTTGAGCCCATTTCCTCTTGTCCTATCGCTAACTACTTGGGAGAAGAGACCAACACCCACCTCACTACAACCTCCTTTCAGGTAGTTGTAGAGAGCTATAAGGTCTCCCCTCAGCCTCCTCTTCTCTAGGCTAAACAATCGCAGTTCCCTCAGCCACTCCATGTGGCAATTTTATCCATTAAGTCAGGAGAAAACAGTGGAGAGTTTTCTGCTGGATTGATAAGCTGAGTTGGCTCACAAAAAAAGGTGTGGAGATTGGCAGAGCTGGCACAACAGACTGGCCAGGGATGCATGGCTGAGAGCAGCATATTTTTGGGAAAGAGAAGCGACACCTGGTCAGGAAATCCTGGAGCAGTGACATGCCCAGCAGCCACCTCCCACGGCTACCCCGTTTGCGCTTGCAGCAAGGCCATGCGACCCACACCAGCTAAGACAAAACCACTTGGAGCTCTTCTTAGAAGAGCCCTGACATCTTCTGCCACAATAGAAGGGACTGATTTATACATTACCTGAGCTCAGGTCTCCAGGAATAATATGGACAACAACTGTTAGATACAGGGATATGCGAGTTTTGTGCTACTGCTGGGACTGGCTAGATAAGGTACGGGGTAGATACAGATATCCTTCCTCTTCCAGCGTGAGTCAGGCTGGGAGCATGTTTATGGCGCATATGCTTGCCCTAATTTAGTTTGCTCCCCTCCCCTCACTGGAAAAGCTGGCGCCGAAGTTGAACGCTTCTCTTGTTCAAAATGCCAATGTCACTGCATCTTTCTGAAACATGATCTCTAACAAGTCTCTGGCCTGGAAAGTAAGGGCTGAGTTGTTGCACAAGACCATTTTCAGTTATGTGGCCAATAATTATAATAGAAATAATTATATGATTTGGAAGAGACCAGCCTTTTTTTTAAAAAAAATTTTCAGCAATAAAGATGAAAGTAATTTTGGGTTGATTTAAAGGTTTTGCAGAGATACAACAGCTTGCACATAGGTCAGGCCCTTGCATGCAAGTAAAAATTACATTAGAGGAGCATATTTTGCTTTCATTCCCAGCAATCTCCCATTCTCACAAAGATGACATCAAAATTGGCTGTTGCTGCCCTCTTTCCTCTTAAAAGTGCACAATTGCACTTTGAGCGTAAAACCGTGAACATGCAGTTGATCTACTGGAGACCCCTAAGTGCCAACCACGCCTCTGATGCTTAATTCTATTGGTTTTCCTGATTCATTACAAATTTAAATTTCTGGTGAAATATGATATTTTCCTTTTCAAAGTTGAGATAGATTATTCAAATCCCCAGTTGCTATAAATCTGCAGAGTAGCTGGGATTCTGGCTTGCTGCTCCTTTTCACTACGTAACGTCCATCTCAATGGAGAAACAAGTTTACCTGGTCGAATTGCTGAGACTGGTAATATCCGATGACCAATAAATTTCCCTCCTTCTTCATACACTGCTAGCCTCAAACATGCCAGGGAAGGTAAAACGACCTAGAAGGCAATAGTGTTGCATTATTAACTTTCTGCTCTGAAAGAAACAGCTCCTCCCAGACGTAGGCTACACAGCAGACATAAAGTTCAGTCTAGCAGATAGTAACATCTACAGATCCATGGGAAGGTCTTACCATACAAGAGGTCACCTGTGTGTCACAATAACTCTCACAGAAATATTCTTCAACCAAGAAAGTTGACGTGGGACATGTGCACAGTATGCTGAACTCAACAACTCAGCAATTTTCAGTACGATACAAGGGACTTCGACAGCTCAACTCCTATCACACCTGAATGCCACTCTTTTCTGCTTATTATTCACAGCCTTAGACTTTTTTTTTTTCCTTTGTGTTTGTGCCCACGGGATTACTTACTTCTGAGAAAAGTTACTGATAGTCATATCAGTGTTGAGAACTCAACAAGCAACTCAACCTGTTTTGCAGAGTGTGAATGTATGAGTTACATCAACCATGTCAACCCCAGCAGAATTTTCCAGTGCTGCAGCACACTCACTGGCTGGGCTAAAGAGGTTTAATCAGGCAGGATGTTTACTAGCATTGGATGCTTTCTTGGCACTACATAAGAAAGCAAGCCAAACAGTGAAAAAAGAAAACAAGAAGTCAAAAAAGTTTACTTGAACTACCCTACTAAGACAGGAATCTTTAATATTGCTTTAAAAAACAAGTGTAGCATAATTCATCTCATTTGCTTACTTAATGCAAATACACAAATACACATATTTTTAACCTGGGCATAGATATGCATTTTTTCAGAACATATGCTAAAATTTATC